ATTTTAGTGTATTTTGCTTCTACGACGTCATTCCGTGTTTCTCTATCTAATGCTACCTCTTATTCATTCTGCACTACTTAAGTTCTTAGGTCTCTTTTGACGTTATCCTCTCGCCGTTATCTAGCCCCTCCCCTTCATCATACCTAATTTATCTTATTTCCAATTCATGATTGCTTATATTATTCGATTGTTTTCTGTTCACCGTGTGTGACCTGCCTATCTTATCATCTGACTCTTGAATACACCCACTATATTTATTTATTACGTATAAAACCAATATTTTTCGCTATCTTGATTAAATTTTCAATTAATAATAATGTAATATATTTTATAACAATTAATATGTATATGAAATTATCACTGATCTAAATACTCTAAAAAAAAACAATAAAACAACGGCGGAAATATTTAAGTCTTGTATACAGTGTATTAAACAATTTCAAGAACCACTAAAAGGTGTACACTGTACACAGACGCTTTCAAGCTATAAGAAGTAGTAGGCATTGCAATAAAATATTCGAAAACAACAATATAGCGTACAAACTACATAAAAGTTGTTCAATTTACTCAGCTGATGCACTTGCCATTTTAAAAGCTAAGTAAATAATTATCTTTAAAAAGTACACCAAATCTATTATTCTTGATGACTCATTTTAATTAAAAATGCTGTAAATAGCATAAACAACAAAATAAATCTATCACTTTGCAATCTTCATATAAAATAAAATAGAAAAAACTAAAATGAATTTTACCAGCACTCATCTGGATACCTTTTTTTTTCGTTTGAAAAATCGAAAACGGGTGGGAACTGTTTTGCACAATACTGTCACTCGGTCTCGTAACGTTTATTAGCCAACAATTAATTACATTACAATATTATCAATATTAGTTATACATAGATGAGGGCCTCTAACCATCCTGAAAAATTGGCCTTCACCCCACAAAAAAAGAAAGAAACAGATTTTACCTTATCCATCCACCTACTGTTTATCTGATGCGCTCTGTTGCTTCCTTAAGTCCGAGTATCGTCTTCACCATCCTACCAAACGCTATATTTTGCTTATCCATCGACGTCTCAATTCGCCTTCTCCTCAATATGTCAAAATTATCTATTAACCTACCTGGGCAATGTATTATAAAGAAAAATTAAACTGTGGATAAACATTCTAAAAAGATCATTATATCTGACTTAAATATATCTATATTAAATATAATTGCCTATGAAGAATTTAAAAACTTTATAAAAATGCACATACGACAAAAATGGCAAATATTCTGAATTAATTAAAGCACCAAACTAAACCAAATAAATAGTTCAATATTCAAACTTGACACTAACTCTAATTCGTAATTAAAAGACTCACTCACGAATCTCTAATGGTAATAGAAGAACCCTCTATATTTTAAGAATGTGGCTTAACGCTCACAGTAAAGCACTTATTAGCAGAATCTTAACGATACGAACAGTCTATATATCAACATGACAGAGAACTACACTTGGACCCAACCCTAAACAGAACGAGAAAGTTCTGAACTTCTTGAAATCAACCAAGTTAATTAACAAAATACAATCTAACAATAATTGTAATATAACGTTTTGTAAATACTTTAATAATTAATTTTAGCTAGAAATTAAGTAACTGTAATTGTAACTATAATGAATTTTACTGTTGATTTTTTTTAATTAAATAAAACAAAATAAAAATCTAATACTATTATTATGTATGGTAAATGCAATAATTTCTTCGATAATATAAGTTTACTGCAGATATGACAACTAATAAACAAATAAATTATTAATATAGTGGTATATAATGCAAATTAATTATAATATATTCGTATCCTTAGAAATAAAGGCTTCACTACGTTTCACTCAGAGTCGATTTCGTATGCAGTTATAAGTATTTATAGTTGAATTTAAATTTAACATTTTTATTTTTGCACATCTATTATTTCCAAGTACGTATTGTTTCAGTTGTTGTTTGTGTTAAAATTGCCACTTCACCTATCGCGTCCCCTTGTTGATATGGTTTTCGTATTTTTCACACCATCTTTGTCTATTAATTTTGATTAAACTCAAACTGCTATAATTAAAAAGATGATTAAATATTATTTAAGAAAAGAAGGTATAACATTGTAACCGTAACATTGTATATACTATATAGTTACCTATGTTATCTGTATCGGCCTAATATAGGAAGGGTATGCATCGAAACGAAATATCATTTATAAGCCCGTCGGATAAAATCAGTGTTTGCTTAAAACCTTAGAGCACAGAAAATCCTCGTGTGTGTCAGATTCAAATATTAATAAATTATTAATGAAAATCTGTGTGCATAAATGTATTTTTTATGGAAACCCTACATCCGCTGTTGACGCGTGTAAACACGCATCACGGTAAATCACTTCGCGGCGTTTGATAAAACATCGTTATCCATATTTCGCATATTATGTATTGTATAAATATTAAAAATTTATTGTACATTATTATGATAAGGTATATTATATTGTGTGTTTACTACTGGACATCCTTTGTCATTGTCCTCGCCACGACCATAGAATATTCTAATGTAACGTCACGTCGCACGTTATACGATGATTTTTACAACCTTTTTTTCGTCACCGCGAACAATAGATAATAATAATAGAATATAATACGACGTAAACTCGAAATCTGTTACGTTTGTGTTGAGCTGTGCGACGTCTTAATCTTTGAAAGACGTGTTTGGATAAAACTTTTTGATACGTTTACTGCACGCGTGTTTCCACAATGTGATATAATACTATAGGTAATAAACTGTTGATCCCCAGCTATACCACATGATTATTCTCCAATTCTTATTTTATTTTTTTGAGATTGTCCTTATTAGCTGATAAAAGTGTCCAACTGTCCGAGCGAATTTAAATTAGTTTTTCTTAAAATGTTACTTTCGAGTAAAATAGATTCTCCGTATTTCCTTTGTCCCATTAATTTCAAAGTTCTCTCTTTTTCTTCACGTAATAAGTTTATTTTCCGATATACGAGTATACCACAAATTCTGTATGCTGCTAATGAGACCCTTGTAAGAATGATGCGGGTTTCCAATGGTGTACCATTTCTATCTTTCTTTCTTCATAACACTACATAAAGGGTACATTGTCCTGTACATTTTTGTATTCATATTAACTCATATATCGTAAATATTTCGATGTGTAAATGACTTCATTATTTAGTCATTGGGTTTTTAATAAATAATATTGTACATAAGTAATGGTATTCTCAATTCTGGTTATCGAAAACAAACGTTATCCAGTATGTCGAAAGTGAAAGCTCAATTAAAAATGACCACTTATTTAAACAGTATCTACAGACTATATCCCGAAAATAGATTACGAATTCGGATTATATTCGTACTGCATTTTTTCCTCCGTGTTCTTGATATTTATGAACAATCGTAGGCTATATTTAAAAATAATAATTATATATTTTGTTGGTCGATAATTCGTTAACCTGTCATCGCCGTGCACGTAAAGTTTAATAACTTATGCATACTATTATGTGTTATAACGTGTAAAGAACAATTATCAATTATCCGACAGAAAAAGTCAATATGGTTATAATTATCACGCAAAAAAAAAACAATAATTCACGCGCGTAGGTACACGTCTTACATTTACTAGTTACGATGTTGAAACGACCCATCATTCGCAGTGAAACTCATTATAAAATATTATTATAGTTTGCATGTGACGGGTTAATTGAAGGAAAAATGGAATACTTAGATAAAAGTAACTTTGAGAGTAAAGGCTTCATATTATACAACGATGTATTAATTGAAATGTCGACAATTTCTGTCAATATATAAATAAACTATTCCTTAAATGTGTGTTTATTTATTTGTATTATAACTAAATATATCCAAGTTATACTACAATGAAGTATACAATATGTTTTTCATAAAATAATGCGTGATGAAGTGCATTTTATGTTTTTCTAAACCAGTTAGGGGTGGTTGACTTATTTACTAATGAAAGCTTTATTGTTATTGTTATCGTTATTCGGTCTCATCACAGAAGTGCGCAATATTCATACTAAATTTATAGCTAAGTGCAGTATTTTAGTTTCTATACTATACTATTATATTCACTTAAGTATTATAGTCGTATTGAACATATAATATTCAATATATTCCTATCATGTCCATATCTATCTACCGTTTCGACTTATTCTATTTCCGTGGTTACAATAATTTAATACGACAAATTTTTGATATTTGATATTATTTTACGGCTATTTTAGTCTAGAAATCGACCAGAGTAGGTACCGTTGTCTGTTGGGACATAATAAAAATATATTACACTCTTTCATTTATATTGAATATTTCACTATGCATGTATTTCACAACCTAAATTAAGTTTTAGTATTTATGATCTTATATTAATGTACTTTTAAACATTTTTTTTATGAAAACCCTTGCATTGATGAACCACAAATCATAATAATTTTCTATATAAATTTAAAAAAAAATTATAATCATACAAAATATTAATGATATTTTATATTTTTATTTCAATTATTGATTCTATTTAATTTTATAATCTACTGTTGACTTTAGTTATATGGTACACCTGTGTAGCTATCTCAATTGATTATATTTACGAGTGCTTTAAGAAAGTTATTGACAATCATGACAACATTATTTAATGTTCAGAATAAAGATAGGTATTGTAATTAGTAAAAAAACTAAAAATATTTCTCTTATCATTAATGTAAAAAAAAAAAAGTAGGTAGCAAAAATAATATTTTATATATTTACCTTTTGTCAGTGATAATTAAATTTCACACTAGAATACTACCTAACACAATGTTGTGAATAACATAAAATGAATTTATCAAAATCTAGATTACCTCTAAATTGATAAAATCATAAGAGCTAACCTCTCCAACGTTAATAATAATACACTATTCTAATATCGTCAACAATTGTCAATAATTAATAACCAACATTATGTTGTTTTAGAGTTATGGCATTCGTACAAAAAGCTGTCGCACGTTTATATGAACCCGATAAATTGGAAACTCTATTAAGAGACTTGGGCAAGAAACACTATCATTATGGCGCCAAACAAAAATACGTAGACGTGAGTATAATCGGTTTAAGTACTGTCTTAATAATTATTATTTTAGACATTTCAACGAAATTAAATTAATTTAAACTGTTTATTCCAACCGATCTAATACGAGATATAAAGTAGGTATACATGTTTGTATAAAGTCTATATAAAGTGTTAATGGAATACGCAGTATACTTTAAAATAATAAGATATTGTAATAAGTTTATTTTGAACGGATTTTTTTTTTAAACAAAACCTTTAAAATCTAATAATCATTAAGCATATTTTTAATTATTTTAATTTATCTTAATGTTTTTTTACTAAATACTATTTTTATAATTGTTTAAATATTTAATTGTTTTATAAGAAAAAGTTAATTTCGTAAAACTCATTGACAGTAAATCTACGTATGATAAATACGTGTCCGCCAATGAAAACATTGAACATTTTTAAGCTCACTCAATCATTGGTTTTTCATTCTTAAATCATTCATATTTTCTACAAAAATCGTAAATGTAATATTTTTTCTCTCTCTTACCTATACTAAGATTACATTCAACTCAAAACTATGAAGTCTATTACATTATAATTTCTCCAATAACTAATCATTAATTTTATTCATGTATTACATTATTTAAAATAATTTATTATTTAAGTACCATAAATTGGTAATATTTCTATCTATATATTCCACTGTTTGTTCACACAAAAAACTAATCTATTATTCAATAGATTTGAATTTCATCCGATTCAGTAGTACCCACAGATATATAATACAATATATTATGTTGTATTATATTTGTGATAGTTTCAATATTTATAGACAATATAATACAATATTAAAATGTATAGGAATTTTTTTGTTTTTTATTAACTATAAAAGCTAAAAAATTTAAGATTTTTAACCTAATCTTTACTTAAAAATAATTCAGGCAGTGAACAAAATAAAAATTACATTATTTACAATTGTATACATTTTTTTACTTAAGTTTATAATTTTGAAAAGTAAAGGTATAATATCCTAATCATTATTTTACTTATATTGCAATAAGTCATTGTCTCACTCATTCTCTCTCTCTCAAATTATCAATTATTGATTTTATTATAGACTATTTATTCTATTTCTCATTCCGTGTTAAACCAGATTCACAACTACGACAGCTATCGCATCGTATCGTATTCTGATTAGCCATGGTAATTGTGATATCATTTACTAACCATAACCTATCAGGAAATTTCCATTGTTTGGTCGAGATAAGCCATTAGACAGGACATAGACGTAAACTCAACTCTCGTTACTTGTCTGGAACAGCTATGGTGTTGCGTAGGTGATAATGAATTGTACGTTTATTATTTTATTATTGAATAGAAATAAATATTAATATGGTTTGTGTCAAAGTCACGCTCACTCGGTCGAAAGGTTCGAATGCAAATCGCAGCTTTTATATAGAAAACATACATGTTCCCTGCTGCACAGTAAATAACGACTTAAGAACATTTACTTTGTATTAATTTAACGACCTCGTTCCTCAGGCAGTCTGTTAATGTTATAGAAATGTACGTACCTACTGTAGCTTACTTTCTGTGCAAATAAGGTTTGTATACATATTTCAAGGTGTTATATTATACTTATATTTATACTCTTTCTCTTTCTTTCTCTTTCTCTTTTGGTATTTCGTAATATGCACTACCTCAATGTTGACAGTAATACCATTACTAGCTATTATTCTGTGATACTTGATAATTTAATAAAGAAGGAAATGAAAATTTAGAGGTCACCTCGAGGAGGTATGGTTTTTTTGATAACACACAAAACATGTTAATTGTCGTTTGTCATAAATATTCGATAATTCATGTTATCGTAAATGATTACTACTGAACGAAGGTAGTTTTCCAAAGTCTTTTGGTATTATGTACATTGGTCTACAAAATCTGAGAATACACTTGAATCCTACTTCATGTATTTTGGCTCTTAGATTTAAATTTACCTTTAAATAATTTACTTTATATTTCTAATAAATATAAGGTTGTTTCAAACCAACGCGAATAAAAACAATCAAAGCCTTTCAATCGATTTCACTTCGTATAATCACGTACGCTCCATGGCATGTCTAACTTCACCCTTAACAACACTTAAGTATTGAACCAGTTGCTAATTTAGTTAAAACCCGATATAAAAAATTACATTACAGATTACTCCATCACCCAAACCCTCTAATAGCAAACCAGCACACTGTCTCAATTCCAGGAATTCCTGGCAACTCTCCTCGCCGTCTCAAGAAACGTAAGAAAAAAAAAATGTAGTGATCTTTTAGAATAAATCACTGTCTGTTCGCCTACCAAAACTCGCTGAAAGGGTCTTATCACTGGATAGCTTTCTGTTCAATACCTCAAAGTCAAGTTAATACAAATTTTCATCATAATAAGTTATTGTATTTATTTTTAATACAAATTGTAAATTTATTTATTTTCAATAAGAAAAGTATAATTCTCTTTTTTTGGTAATGATATTATATTCGCATATTTTAATTGATGTATCTTTAATATACAAAATTTCACGATTATTATTAATTCATTGAATGAGGAAATACAAATCTATCCATTAGTGCGATATAAAAATAATATTTTTTGGTGAAATAATTTTAGTTATAATCCTTCTGATCAATTTTGTCTGTGGTGTCTTCAATATTAATTACTATAGCTTGTTTTTCTTTTTTTGAGGAGGGAGTTAAATTTAACTTGAGTTGAGCTGTGGCATAGGACTGTGTTATCATTAGTTGATTTGTTGGCATTTTCGCGCTTGTTACGTTGAGTAATGGTTTTATTGTACTCTACATTCGTTTCATTTATTGGGTTTAATGATTTCGAATTTATATTGCTCGGTTGTTTCAGGTTGTTTTTAATTTCACAGATACGTTGTTTTTTGCGTTAAATAATATGGTGGTTGTTTTACCTCGTGTTTTCGGCAATTGAGTGATTCGGAGGCCCGTATTTTATTTTTGGATAACTCCTTTGGGGGATTTAAAAGAACTCATTTTCCTCCCTTCTCCCCATTACTTTCTAACTTAAATAATTTAGAAGCCCATACCTATTGTTCTCATGAGTTGTTGACTACAATGCAATATCTGAAGCTTTATAAATGCGTGTTTGCGATAAATGACTGCAGAAAGATAAACCCACGTGTATCGTCAACAGGCGTTAAACACGTACTGGATTTTAGTTAATAGTATAGCTAATAAATTTCACTGTCTAGCATGTGTAGGTAGTACCTACACTAATAGTACCAATTATGATGTTTTTCTTTTGCAAAGAGAACATTTATTTCATTATTTTATGACATTTTTATAATCTAAGATGTTATAAGAATTTTCACAAATAAATTATTTAAATATTTTTGCAGACGAATTTTAAATATATTTAGGAATTTAAATTTGATTTTTTAACCTTAAACAATTTTCAATAATACATATTTTTACAAGTAAATTGGATTCAAAAATGTAATGAATACAGAGACTCAATGGTTTAACTTTGTTATATGAATGATTTAAATTAAATTATGCCAAAGTGATGTGTTCATTTCCAGAATTTTTTTATGATAATTGTTACTTCAATTATATAAAAAAATTTATAATAGTTGTAAAAACTTGAATCATACCACTATTACTAAAATCAACATTTCCTAATAAAGTCTTGAAAATATTTGTATTAATTTTAAATTATTTATACGACGCTCCTAAACTAGATTGACTAAACAAAATAATATAAATATAATCATATAGGTAATAATATGATAATGTGATATTATATTGTAGCATATAATTTAAATAATTAACTATATGCAATTTTATAGAAAAAATTAATTCAATCCGCTAAACTACTAGTATAGAACAATAAATCAATCATTTCTAATAGTAATATAAATAAGTAAAAAAAATATTCTTTGGAATATTTTTTAAAATAAATACTGGCCTATCTACTCACAATTCTATTTCACATCCTATGATTCATCATTTAACTCAAAGTCAACACTCATTACAGTGACCAACTCAATAACAAGGTAAGCCTATTTCCCGATTATTTTTTTTTTTTATCATGTATCTACTTCTTAAATCTTAAAATTGATAAAATGTTATCGATATAACAAAACACTACATAATTAAATAATTATAATATAATCTATTTAATTATATCATTTACTAAAAAAATATTTTTTTATTTGTATTATTTACAAAAATAGACAAAATAAAAATACTTAATGGTTTTTGTTTTTGTTTTATTTAAATTTAAATTATACTACAAACAAATAATTAATTGCCACCCTTTTTAATTACGTAAAAACGTAATCGAAAACGTTTGTCATGTAGCGAAATTATCCTCTTCAAATAAATAATTTGCATTGACAATAAATGAGAAATAATATGTTTCAAAATGTAAAATAAATAACAATTTTTGGGAGTAAACCTACATTGAATGAGTACACTGTGTCGAATGGAAAATTTTTATATATACATTTGTTTTGATATCACCTGCAAAAAACTAATTTATTTTCATAATTTTTATAAAAAAACCAATTTTTGAATGGTTCAATCACTTAAGACTTGACAATTTAAAATTAGGTCAGGATATTTTTTTGAATAAATAAAGAATGTATTTTTGTCAAGAGCAGTTGAGCAACAGTTTGTTTGGTATTAAACATAATCAATATTAATATTATAATGTAAAAACTTTTTTAATCGTAAAATCAAAGTTCTTGACTGTCGAAAGAAGAATGACGTAATAATTAATAAAAATAATTTACTTTTAATTCAAACTGTTTTGTCGTTTATAAAATCGACAAGTAGACACCTGTACAAAACATATTTTTGCGTTTGGCAACTATTAATAGTATTTTAAATAATGTATTTACTTTTTTGTCTTAAGGAATTTCTTAAATCTTTTTACAGAACAATTTAGCAAAAACTCGATAATAAATCACGGTTCTTGTGATTTCTTTAACTATAGGACGTGCTACGACTGATGAATATAATACCCATTAATGTATATTTTTTTTTTTATTATCTCATCAACACAAATAAAATCATCTTTCGAGCTTCTCGCGGAACATTAAGCAGTTCCCATTCTGAGAGTTAACTGATCGCGCACGATAATGGGCTTACCAAATGTAATGGGTTTAATAATTACGTACGCACCATAAGCATATAAATATAGACCTCCTCCTGGTCACTAGGAAAACTTTGCTCTTTTTTCGTACCGATCCCAAACGATAAAAACACCCACAGGGGACGATAATTCACGTGCACTTAACCTAGACCACACCCAGTCTTCGCGTTCTACACAGGACACCGTCATCGTTCCGGCACACAACGGCCGAGTACAAAATATTTTGATTACCGCGACCGCATCGTCGTTTTGGGGAATATAAAGAAGAACTTTAGGTACGGAAACGAAAGCAATTTCAATTCTACTTCACTTTTTTGCGAACGTTTGGTTAAAAAAAAAAAAAAAAAACCCCAATGATAATAATTAAATTGTCGTTGAATCATACATTACACAGTTCAATCGATGCGGAAAAATGTGAGTTTTTTTTTAAACATCGATACACGAACATTTTGCTTAGAACATTTCGCAACAATTATCCTTCGTGCGTGCACTTGTGTCTAATTGAACGTAATGGCTGGTAGAAATTTTAACGTATTTAGAATACCTACAATCATATTATACACTATATGTATATTAATGTATTACTTTTAAAATGTGTATGCCTATATGTGAACCGTAGTACATTTCCCGTTTTTTCAGTGCTTTAGGCTATGGAAAATCATGAAAACGCATTTGATACTATCATATGATTACATGTTTAAATGTTATGCTCTTAACCACTTTCAACGCTTAACATTGTTATACATGTATATAATCACCCGTAAAATATTTGTTAATAGAGCCTTATGAATTATAAATTAAAACTTAGGTAAACGAAAAGTTGTGTTCATTAGCCATGTATAGAGTACGAGTATAAAAGTTTTTTCCTCTCCGAATGGTTGTGTTAAAAATGTTGGAAAGTTTTTTATGTACCTGACATAAATAAATCTTATCAAACATTACTATACGCAGTGTTTGATTGTTTTTTACATGTAGGTACTACGTGCATTTCACGTGGACTTTGAACTATATGGAAACCATGTAATGTGGAATTAATATTACTTAATTTTTTTTCATCCAACTATAGTATTTTTCCAAACATTTCAATTTTTTTTTTTTTTTTTAAACTAGGTAGGACATCGTTGTATAGCATCATTATTCATTATTAACACCGTCATAGACACATCCTAGTCATAAACATTCATCTCTATTAATTTTTCTTTAATGTTTAAAATATGTATAAATATATTATACATTATACATACATACCTAAAATATTTATTATAATAAAATTATTGGTAAAATTGCAAGGCCCGTGAAGCTTTTTGATATTTTAACAATAAAAAAAATAATCAAATATCAATTCGTTACAAACTGATTGCTGTATATGTCATACATTTGTACGTATAAATAATTATAAAATAAAAAATGGTAATAACATTTTTTGCTACGTTTATAATTTGAAATATTTCAATATTTATTTAAATATTTTATAATATAAATTAATAGTATTAATATAAAAAGTATTTAATTTCTCTTGAAAAATATTTTACATGTTTTAATTACTAATAATTACGATCTGTGAATTTTCCTTTGTATTGTTGTGTATTATAGTGCTGTATATAATATGTTCTATAGAGATTTATAATAAAATGTGTAATTTCATGATTTTTCAACTATTTTTCACTGTTGTGTTTGCTTACAGTTGATCGGACCTCAATTCATTATGGCCATACAGCCGTCGTTAGTCGACCGGTGGACAGATGAAATGCACTCAGCATGGACAGCATTGTTTTTGAACATGGCATACATTATGAAAGGTTCAATGGCGGCCGAAGAAAGGTTCAAAGTAAAGAAAACTGCCACTTAAACGACCAGTCCTCATTTATACACACCAATGATTATTGTTTTTATTTTGTGAATTAATATTTTTGTTCTATTTTGATTTTATAACGATACACATTTATCTATTCAATACAATTAAACTTAGACAAGATAATTATAATTATTATTATTCGCAATGTAAGTTTCGTTAGACATTTAAATTACATTAAATCATTATATTATAGAAATCGCACGATATTTTCTTCGTTTAAGTCAATATCCTACGAAACAACGTCATTTTTTGTACATCAAATATTAGTTAAATTCAAATATCTAAATATATAAAAATATAAAATAGTTATGATAATAATATTGTATCGGTGTAGGTATTATTGCATTAATGTGAACGGTTATGACCATGTTATTATACTGCTTAGACTTGAAATAAAAACAACATAAAATCAATATGAATGATGTTTAAATATTACAATATAAGGTTATCCTTTTTAATCCAAAATTATTAGAATTATTGGTAATATATCATTTATGTTAATGTGCATTAACAAAGAATTAATAAATTATTATTCACCTCCTCACAAAGATCGACACAGAATGTGTGTTGTTAAAACATAATAATATGAATATGGTTTTTATTACAATGGCATTAAAATTTCTGCTGAACGAAAAAAACTTACTTGGCTTTTAATTTCAAATTGAAAGAAAAGTATAAAATAAAATCATATAAAACAAAATTCACTTTATAAACCATCCGACAGCTGTTATCCCTAACGTTAAAAATGTTTCATTCACATGTGTACGTTTTTAACAATTTTTTACCGCGGTAATATATTATTGATACTACATAAATAATTTATATCATGATTCAGTTACATGATACAAATTTATAATATATTTTTATAAGATTATGCTAAACTAAATAATAATAAGAATATTGATGATATTTCAGAGTAAAAATAATAATACTTAGTGTCTTGTATATGAATATTTTTTTTTAAATTCATATAACTTCTTTTCATCACTAAAATGTAAATATTTTTTAAAATAAAAATATTACAGTTAATAACATTAACAAAAATTATACAATGATTTATAAAATAAAATGTTTATTTAAAAATCTTACGCTGGACAAATCTATAATGAAGCTATTATAATATGTTATTATTTATAATACTAGATAAATAATATATACACATTAAACTTAAAATAATGAATATAACCTGCAGGGTTCAAAACTTATAACATTTGCTTTTTTTTTAACTTAAAAACTAGCGAAATTCCGTAAAAATCTATGTCATGTTACAACTTTTTTAAACATGAAATTTGTAAATTATTTTTGTTTTGCGTTTTTGCGTATGCTATTTTACTTTGAGTTGACGCAGATGGTAGCAACTGACATAAATCTAAATTTATTTTCAATTTTTTTCCCTCGGTTTAAGCTGATGATAGAACTTTGTCTTGGTATTCTACATTACCTAATTTTTAATACCAATTATTTCAATTATTTTATAACTGTTAATTTATAGTTTTAATACTCAATAGTTGTTTATTATGATAACATTCATACCTAATACTTAAACCAAATTATAAAATTGTTTACATTTAATTAATTTTCATACAACGTATGCGTTTTATTTAAACGACACATTAAAAATACCAAAGTTGTCAGTATACATAGATAATTGATAATAGGTAAATAATATAGACACTTTAAACTCTATGCAACCCTAATCACGTATTTCATAAATACCGACGTCAAAAAATAACTTCTCCGATCGATTTTTGATGTTTAATGAACCACAAGCACACATTGTAAATTGACATTTTTGCCATATTAATAAAAGTTCCCGTTTACAATTTTGTAAACAAAAATGTCTAGTCTGCAGTCTTAAATATTTTTTCTTCCATCAATCGATGTTCATAATACGAGTATTATAACACGAGATGAATAATATACAATTTCGTTAACATACATATTTTAATAAACAACATAATACAATTAAATCGACGTTTTGAAGTACCTAGTAAGTACATTTACTATTATTATTTTAGTATATATTTAAGAAATATTAAACCAAATAAATTTATTTTTATCAATTTAAATTTAAAATAAACTGTTTTTGAGAAAGGTGCTTATAAACATATTTTTATAATTTTTAATTAATAAATAAATCACTACTTATTTAGGATTAAAATGTCAAAAACTAATTTTGATTTTACAATGCTGTGTTTTTTTAATCACTCTTTTGAATTAAAAATGCCTATATGTCTCGAATTTTAATTTCAGCATATTTTAAGTAGAAAAATACATATAATTGGTAAGTACATAGTGAGATGGAGTTAAAAGTAAATATTATCAGTACTTTTTTTTAAATATGATAAACGAAAAAAAAATTAGAAATAAATTGGAATTAATTTTATGCAAAGCTATAGTTGTTGTCAAAATCGATTTTCTTATTTTGTCGTAATACAAAAACATATAACCATAAATATTGTAAAATATTTTCTATGCATATTTGGTATATAATTCACAATTAATCAAACTTGGAATCGTTTTTCGTATATAACGAATTATTATTATTGAATTTAAATTTAATACATATATTTTATTTATTAATGATAGACATGCCCAACACGACAGTACAGAAGATACGTATATAATATATTTATATATGAGTAGAAGATACGCAAAATAAGATCAATTAAGTGTGGCACTGATCATGAATTAATCAAAGAGCTGGTTTTAAATTCACAAGTTAAGCTCATAAAACAATCGAGTGGATGATTTCGGTTAAATTACCTATTACAACAAAATAATCACAGTAATTACGTTACAATTACTTACTCAATTACTAAGTGTACTCAAAACTAGAACAGTTATCTACCTACTTTCTCCTTTTTTTACACTTCGTCGTCTCAGAATGAAAAGGTTCTAACGTAATTGTTGTAATTGTTCAGAGGAACATTTTTAAGTTATAAATGGAATAACTTTTTTCACCGTAAATACTAAATTATACAAAAATTTTATACAGTGTCAATAAAGTTCCAAAAACCACGATTCAAGTTGAAATTTTATTTTACCGCAATTATTGATTAAGTTAATAATAAAAAAACTAAGATATAGTTTTTAGAATTAAAAGGTTGTACGTGTAGAACTTTTTCATTCTGAGAATAAAAATTATTTATCAAGCTAGAACCTTTTCATACTAAAAATATATATCATCGATTAAGTTAGAACTTTTTATACTAATTAAAATAATTTGTTTTATTCAGTGATACCAACTTACGAGTGTAAATTATGTTAATTCCTAACATCACGTAATATCACAAAATTTTTTATTGTGTCATGTATTATATTTTAGTTTTGAAGTAAATTATTAATTACATATTAGGTATGATATGACTTAATATATCGAATACCTACTACAAGGTATAACTCTACAATACGTTAAGACGTTTACGATGTCACTAAGTGGTGCATCTTCAAATTTAAATTAATTATCCTGTATATTCATAGATTCGAATAAGGTTTAGCTTATGCTAGATTAAAAGGGATCGTACCCAATCACGTTTACATTCTTTTTTCACACGAATTAAGTTATAAGTAAATTATTAAGCTTAAATAAAAATGTAAACAAGATTATTTGAATGATAATAAAGTTGAATGTATTTAAAAATACACCTACCTACTATGAAAGTAAGAAAAAATTTTTAATAGCTATAAAAAAGTAAGTAATTAAATTATTTAAAGACATATTAAAAATATGTATAAATAAAAAAAAATTATAACTACTCTTACTATAAGTTATAAAATTCTCAACAAACTTTTTTTTTTTTAAAAATCATACATTCTAAAATATACTCTCATAATACATTTTTTCAGTACCTGACATAAATTGATAACAGCGTGATATCTATAATTAATAATATTATGTCAATAATTTATACTTTATCGTGTATAAGACGTACAGTATATTATATTATTACACCGACAAAACAAAAATAGACAGATAAATACCTACATGCCGGAATAATATTTTATCATAGCACAATAATAATTTGTATCAGTGGTATAACCGTATTATGTTATAACAGTACCTTTTCATTTTAAGGTATTATATTATCTAAGACCGTTTAGAACTAATTCATTCTTTATTATTGTTTAAAATGAAAAAATTCTAACTGTTATTTCTCGGTTTGCCCCTTATCATTCATATTTGTAAGAGTTAAAACCTTTTCATTCTGAGTATCTCATTAAATAATCATCAAATTGATATGATTTCAAGATTGATTTATACAAGAATAAAATATTAAACAATATTTGCAAAAAAACCATTTAAAAAAAAAATTGATTTAGAACTTTTTCATTCTGAAACGACGACTTTCTAATTAATATAAAGTATAATATTAATTATATTTGATTCGTAAAATACTTATTGTAAAACTCATACACATTTCCTTTTCGTTTTTACGTACAGTAGTAAATGCATACTTAGCAAACAAAAGAAAAAAAATCGTAACAATATTCAACTAAGGATTTCCTCACGCTCAAAACTAAAATAAAACAATTTTGTTGAAAATGTGGAATTCTTTATTTCATCAGTAGTGTTAAACTTAAATTCGGAGTGCACAATGTTACACGGCTATAATGAAAATAAGAAACGAAATTAAAATGAATGGAGAGACCGATGGCGGCAAATGACGTATAACCGCGACGCGCAGCAGACCGTTTCCACTTAATTACTATCTGTTCTGTAGAATTGTTGCAATTCTAATTTTCTTATCATTTTTATATGGTAACCTATTTAAGTAATACGATTGTTTGGCTTAACTCGTTAAACAAGAAATATAACTAACAAATTTATTTTCTTATATTTACATATTTTAACTTACTCTTGTATGCAATGTAATTATTAAGTCAAGTCCCGGATTTAAATGACTTGAAAACTACCAAAACGTGGCTTTAAAAACTACTATTTTTTTTTTTTACATGGCAACGTAAATATTAGAAAAATGTTGGTTAAACTTCCTACGTCTTTAGCGCTTCATTATCTTAGCTAAATTATAAACACTACCAAAAAAAAAAAAAAATAATAATAATAAAATAAAATAAAATACCAAAATTAAG